CCCCAAAACCCCAAAACCCCAAAACCCCAAAACCCCAAAACCCCAAAACCCCAAGGTGGAAGAAGAAAATAGGGTTAAAATTATTTTAATTTAAAAAGGAATATTTACAGTATAGTTATGGCTCAATGAGGAGTCTGTCACTGAGCTCACATTTTAGATCTTTTGGGGTCTTCTTTGGGAGGAAGGCCTCAGATGCCTTTAGTTTAGAGCCGTAGATAGAAAGAGCGATTCCAAGGCTCAATATGGTTACTCCAACGAAGGTTTGGGACCCTGGGATTTCGTCTTGGCCGAGTAGAATAGCGGTCACTTCTGCGAAGTAAGGCTCCATTAAAAAGAATACAGCTACTATGTCCAATGTCCAGTACTTGTAGCATTCTAATAGGGAATAGTTTGACACTATGCTTGTCCATGGGCATACAAACAGTAGCATTAGGGCTGCATACCATGGGTTTGACATCCATCCGAATATTCCGAACTCAGAGTCAAAGCTGAAAAATAATGGATTCTCCTCTAGGTGAGGGAATACGAGAATTTGAATGATGAAATGTCCTAGGAATAGATAGAACATGCATACGACCTGCTCTGAGTCTCTCTTTAGTTTGGTTGAGGCTATTCCGTATAGTGCTCCTCCCAATGCCCCACTGATAGCCAAAATATTTCCTAACATCTTGTTTGTTCCTTCTCCAGTTTTGTTGGCAAGGGGGTCGCTAAGCATGATTAGCACTCCAACACCGTATATCAAGTACCCTCCTATCTCGTATTTGTGAACGTATTGGCATGTGAGGAGGGCAATTAATAAAATGAATACACCGTTGCTACAGTATAGTACATCTGCATGTGCAGTCAAAGTGTACTTGCATCCAAGTACTAGCCCAAGAACCCACATGAACAAGAAGAATGACATCAAGGAGGTGCTGAACAAGTTCTGAGGGGATGAGTCTTTTTTGATTTTCTTCCTAAAAGGAAATATGTTAACATCTGCCAAACATCTTCAAAACTTACCATGTTGTGAGATCTGAGAATTCAAGGTGGTCGTAGTCTTCATAAGTCTCTCTTCTGCTGTACCTTATGTAGCTAGTGATGCACCACAGGAACATGATCAAGCAGGAGCACTGTGATCTCCATGAGATAGACACATAGGTGCTCTTTGCAGGAATCATTAATACAAGTGGGCCAGTTGTAGAGGTACTTAAAATACATATCAAGAGCCAAAATGCTCCTATCAAGAAGTTCTTCTTAGAAGTATATGCCAACTTAAGGCCTTCAGGGTACTCTTCTGTATCTGCTACTGGTCTGACCAAGGAGATGTGTCCAGATAGCTCCAAAGCCTCATGGTTCCCAAAGATGCTTTCCTCTGGAAGGATTTCATCTAAAGTTGAGCATAAAAAAATACCTTGTAGTTGGAAAGAAGATTTTGAGTTCATTAATTATTATTAATTATCTAATTCATTTCCACCTATTTATAGGCTGGCGGGGTTTTGGGGTTTTGGGGTTTTGGGGTTTTGGGGTTTTGGGGTTTTGGGGTTTTGGGGTTTTGGG